TCTTCAACAACTTGGAAAAGTTCCTAAACTTGGAAAATGGGTGCCTCATGAATTGTCTGAAAACAACCTCAAATCCGGAGTTGACATCTGCTGTTCTCTCCATTCTCGCCAACTTGTTTCATGATTTTTTGGATAGACTTGTGACTGGCGACGAAAAATGGATCTTTTATCGAAATGTTAAGCGTCGTAGACAGTGGCTTGGTAAAGGGGAAGGACCCCAGCCACAGCCGAGAAGGGAACTTCATGGGCAAAAGGTTCTTCTTTCAATCTGGTGGGATCGCCAAGGAATAATCCACTTTGAATTCTTATCATCTAATGCAACAATTAATGCTCAAATATACTGTCAGCAATTAGAGCGTTTGAACCAAGCTTTGAGCAAAAAAACCTGCTCTGGTGAATCGAAAAGAGGTGATGTTTCATCAGGACAATGCGCGACCCCACACAGCAAGAATCACGTCACAAAAGATCGAAGAACTTGGTTGGGAGAAAATTCCTGATCCACCTTATTCTCCCGATCTTGCTCCTTCAGACTACAATTTGTTTCGTAGCTTACAGAATCATTTGGAAGAAACAGCTTTTGTAACACAGGAAGAGGTTAAAACTGACATTTGTGAGTTCTTCGAATTAAAGCCCAAAGAATTTTACAGTAATGGAATTAGTAAGCTTGTTAATAGATGGAAGGAAGTCATAGATAATCAGGGAAAATACATTGTTGATTGAATCTGTAATTAAATGTAACATTTGGTCACTTGTTTTCTTTATTCAAAATTCGGACAGAACTTATGGGATGACTTGATATATACCAAACATAAATGGTCACCATCAAGCGTACGCTTGAAAATAACAACTACTCAGCAGACATAAAATCCCGGTCTACAAATGGGAACAGAAAGGATATCGTCCTGGGTATCATACCAGATGATAAACAACATCCGCGTCCTGAGTAAGACGATAAACTATGTCTGACAGCAAGACCTCTGATCAGGAAGTTCTGTGGAGCGTGGAACCACATCTTAATTGCTGGTGTTCCCAGGTCCACCCTGACCGTGGGTGGTGACACCTGTCAGGGTCCCATCTATAGGCAAATATTTAATCCACAAACTGGGGTCAAAACACTATAAAAGTGTAAAAATAAGTTTTAATACGAGAAATACTTTGTAAAAAAATTATTACTAACAATGATTTTTTTGAAAAAAATATTACCAGCGATACATTTTCGAAGAAAAAATATTACCAGCAATGCATTTTTGGGAAAAATTCTTACCCTCAATAAAAATCTTGTCGGCATTAGATAACCCACTGAGGTTGATATACCGTAAAACAAACCAAACTAAACCAAACCAGAAAGGACGAAAAGCCACACCAACCAAATGCCGCGGTCCATACAATATCAGGAAAATAGAAGCAGTTCCACTCTACTGAGAAATCTCTGCCGATGAAAGCCTCAAGAGAGAATATGACCAAAAATTGCGCGCATACGATTGCTTGCACTAAAAGTAAGACTGTAGGAACATTGAAAACTCCTAGTGATGGGTGAGACAAGGCAATTCAGCATGGGCGATCATATAGGGAAGGAAAGAGGTGTTTATCACACCTTGTGGAATGGAGGTGTGTATTTGTACTCGATGAAAACGGACATGCAATAACTGTGCATTGCTAAAAATAAGAACTAGATATGAGCAGTAGAACATGAACAGTCTGACCCGTTGATTGAATAAAGGGTTCATTTCAGAATTCCCTGTAGATCGATATACCACTGAGGAGGACAGACGGTATAACAACCCGAAACGTTGTGATAACAACAACAAAGATGAGGACAATAGCCTGAATATAAATAATGTGAATAAGAACGTGTCTTTTGCATCAATAAGTTGAATTCAGTTCAGCCGGATCGATATGCCAAATTAAAGTAGTGTTTAAAGAAAGAACTTCTGACCAGACCACAGATTAAGAGGAGTGGTTGAACAAATTCGAAAGCGTTGAATTGGCGACATTAAATAAGTCTTCAAGTGGACGATTATTGAAGGTAGGTCAGGACGAATTGTGTCAATTTGGAGAAACCATACAATAGTTGACAAGCCCAGAGAGACAGTACCACCCCCCACTCCGACATTTTGAATCATTTCGTGAAGCCTTCTAAACACGGAAACTGGACCTTATATTCTTTGATTGCCAACTATTGAACTTTCTCTGAAATACACGTTTGCGATCAAAACACGTGCACACACATATCCCCACAAAGACACACACACATACACACACAGAGGTTGCCCCGGTTCAGATAATCGTTTATCATTGTGTGCTCCATACTTTCGGCCTTGTGCCACATCTAAGCTATGCTATAAAAACACAGTAAATAAAAATAAAGAATTTTAAACTCATTGTAATTTTCCAAGAAATTATTTTACAATTTTGCAATGATTAATCCGGAAATTAATACGGTTTCCCAAAGGGAAGGTATATATATTAAAGACGATCGTATACTTGAAGTTACTGTAAGGATTAGCAATCTTGTCTCGCTAGATCCCTTACGACTGAGTAGCGAGTTCTTCACTGCGTGATCTATAGGTTCGGCTTAGTGCCACACATAAGCTATGATTAGTGTTATGGCATCTTACCCATGATAATAATAATGGACTATTCCATATTTAATAAATACTGCGCCTCAGGAGTAGGCAGAGATTCAGTAGTTCACGTCGAGTCAGTAGTTCAAGTCGAGTCAAGAGTCGAGTCAGAGGCAGTCCGAAACAGAGTCGCGTTCAGACAATTACTGCAAGACATTGGAATAGTGATACTGGTCGAGACTACATTGTTCTCCCTACTAAACCTGATTGTTCATACTAACACTTCTACTTCTCTGTATATATTCCTCTTTGTTATATATCTGTGTTATTCCATATTCTTCCTTATTGGTTCTACCTTGGACTATCACCGTGGTACAAGGAACCGGACCATAACAATTAGTAAACCTCTATATTAAAGTGTCCGTATATTTTGTTTAGAAAACTTTTTTTCATATATTGTTTTCCTTTTTAATTTACTAAAATGTCTTCCGAGATATTTTACCAAAGTTTTTCAAATATATCTTTTACAAAATTTTCCATTTTTTTTAACCAAAATGTTCCCACAGATTTTTTTTTACCAAAATCCTTCTTTGTGTTTTTAACAAAATTTAAATATTTTTCTTCTATATTCTTGGTTTTCTGTCACGTCTTGTTGAAATACTGGTTCCTGTACGATCGCCGAAGATAAACAACGTCGTTCCTTGTCACTACTTAGATGGGTGATTACTTGCGAATACCAGATGCAGTACGCTTGGATGCGTGGGTGGTGCAATGGATAATGGCTCGGAATTGTTAATCGGAACCCTACATTCTTCAGCAAAATTTCTATACTTTCTAACAAAAATCTTTTATTGTATTTTTTACAAAGACTTTTCCTATATTTTTAATAAAATATTTCATATATATTTTTTTACTAGAAAAACTTTTTTTAATAAATAAATTCAGACTTCGATTCCATAAGTACAGGACGCTTTATTAATTTTTAATATTTAGGAGAATTTCCATCAATTTAAGAAAATACACATGTATCATACTTTCAAATAATATTTCTATTGATTTTTAAAATTTAATTTTTTAAAACTAAATGCAAGAAAATATAGCGCGTCCTGGGTAAGACGATAAACTACATCCGCGTCCTGGGTAAGACGATAAACTACATCCGCGTCCTGGGTAAGACCATAAACCACGTCCAACAAGACGGCCCCTGATCAGGAGATTTCGAGGAGTGTAGAATCACATCTTAATTGCTGGTGTTCCAGGTCCACCCTGACCTCGGATGTTGGCACCTGTTAGGGTCCCAACTATGGGCAAAATAGTTTTAATACCAGAAATACTTTGTAGAAAAAAAATTTGCTACAGTAGATTTTTGAAGAAAAGAATATAACCAGAAATACATTTTTGAAAAAAAATTACCTGTAATAAAATTTTGTCGGCATTGAGGTTGATATACCGTAAAACAAACCAAACCAAACCAAACCAAACCAAGAAAATGTTTCCATTTAATCAAAGGATAATAAGTCTGCACCGCCCAGAATGATGATTTCAAAGTGTGATCTGATTGATTGATTCGTTTTTTATTTATCAACCAGTTTATTTAAAGCCAGAAAATATTTTTTAGATTGTAAGCATTTTTGGAGGACATAATAATTTATTGATACAATACAAATTCTAATAATTAATCCATAACTGGGGGGAAGATTGTATTTACGCGAAAGTGAATATAACGAACCCAACGGGAATTGGAACACGCCCCCCCCCGATTAATAATTCCGAGCCGTTATAAATTACATGACCCGCACATCAAAGCTTACAGCACTTGGTATTTCCAATGGTGCCACCAATCTAGATACTGACCAGGCCCTTAACCCTTTGACGCCCTGCGTTCCTGAACAATTTTAACCCCCCTTGCCTGAGCTCCTGGGTCAAAGTTCGCAAATAATTGGTATGTAATGTTTCACGGTAGATATAAAAATAGTTACAAATGTTTACCCAGCGTTCAACCGATGGCTGGGCATAAAGTCATTTTTCTTTATCGCTGTTCAACCGGTGGCTTGCATTATGTAATTTTTCTCTACCACCGGTAAAGTGTTAATTCGATGATCGTACGGGAACCGGTGTTACAACGTGATATGGCTATAAGCGGTATAACAGGCACATCCAACCTTACAGCACATTGTATTCTCAAGCGGTCACTCATCTAGGTACTGAACAGTCTCGACGTTGCTTAACTTCGGTGATCGTACGGAAACCGGTGTTTCAACGTGATATGGCTATCAGCGGTATAACAGGCACATCCAACCTTACAGCACATCGCATTCTCAAGCGGTCACTCATCTAGGTACTGACCAGTCTGGACGTTGCTTAACTTCGGTGATCGTACGGGAACCGGTGTTTCAACGTGATATGGCTATAAGCGGTATAACAGGCACATCCAAGCTTACAGCACATTGCATTCTCAAGCGGTCACTCATCTAGGTACTGACCAGTCTGGACGTTGCTTAACTTCGGTGATCGTACGGAAACCTGTGTTTCAACGTGATATGGCTATAAGCGGTATAACAGCACATCCAAGCTTACAGCACATTGTATTCTCAAGCGGTCACTCATCTAGATACTGACCAGTCTCGACGTTGCTTAACTTCGCTGATCGTACGGAAACCGGTGTTTCAACGTGATGTGACTGTAACTACAGTATGTACATGTTAGAGGTTAGATATAATAACATTTTCAGTGTCTTTGGCCATTTAGCGGCATATTAAAATTCGTAGCAGGGCACATGTGTCTGCACATTAGACAGTGACGTATAGCAGCATACGTCACTGTCTAAATGATAAAAGAGCCCAGAGTCAGTGTCATGTCACACAGACACGGGCTTACTCCTTATGTCCAATTAGAGCCATTTGAGAGGGGACATTTCGGAAAATTGCTACGCATATTGGACGTAACATATCGAAGCGATCTTTAGACATTCACCGAGCAAATCTATACTAGACTTTGAATGGAACCGATATATGCGGTCCATCGCTAAAAAACACGAAGGGAAAAAAAAGATCGGCTTCTTCTACCAATAGAGAAATCCCATGCTAAGCCTGATCAGAGCAAAAAAAGCAAATTCATCTGGGCTGTAGTTCCCCTATTCTCAGTTTCCAATCTCGACACAGCTCAAACGCGTTTGTGCGACCTTGTGGGTCATGAATCATTTCCAACTTAAAACCCCTTTCCCCACAGACGAAATGTTGCCAGCTTCTAGCCACTCTAACTCCATTTTCATGATAGATGTTTGGCGAAATATATTGCTTGGTTCCAACAGTTCAGCTCTTCACACCTCAGATTCGCATTGCCACGGCTACTACTGACTAATCATCATTCCCCTCATATTCCATTGGTGAGGAGGAAGTTCCACCCAGAAATTTTATTTCTGAAAACTACTACTTGATCGAACAGAGTGGATGCTTCCCTGATCGCAACAATCTTAACTTTCTCTGAAGTCTAGTGTCAATCGTTATCTATTATACGAAGATGTGTTTAAAGTAATTCAGTTTGTTTTATTATATAAAAGATAACTAACACAGTGAAACATATCGTACATCAAGATATGGCTGTACATCATAGGTTCATACCAACACAATTTTCGATGGAACCACCTCTTTCGGTAGCACCACATCTTTCGATGGTAGTGTTTCACCTAAAAATGAGGGCATGTATCCCAGCTTCGTAAAAAAAAAAAAAAAAAAAAAAGAAATTCCTTACAACTGTTTTCACTTGTTCATCACCATAACGTTTGCCCTTTGGTGCCTCTTTCATCGGAGGAGAGATGTAAATCTGAGGATGCTAAGTCAGGTGGTGATGAAGTGCTGAAAACTTTTGTGAAGAATTGGCTATATCAGCAGCCAGCTTCGTCCCACCTACGAAGGCGATATATATATACAATCATTCGTAGGTGGAACACTGCCATTGTCATTGCTATAATCGTACACTGCTATATTTAGTGGGATATAAGTGATATTATAGGCGGTATAGTAGTTGTAAATTATACATAAATTGACACCAACACTTTATAACATCAATAATGAATACGGCCAAAATGCACAGGCCGTATTCGGCAATTAAGAATATGCCGACTTTCAGCAACTTTTATACTGCTTAAAATAGCACTTACGTATCATTTATTATAGAAGTATTGTAGAGTAAGCGACATGGTTAAGCGTACCTGAAAATTTTTTAATAGACAATTGGGTAAATAATAGCGGAATTGCCTGAATTTTTAATAAACAGTAAGAAGAGGAAGGAAAAACAGAAAAAATTATAAGAGACAAATGATATATATATATATGTGTGTGTGTGTGTGAAATATGTATGTATACAAATATAAATATATATATATATATATATATATATATGCAATTTATTATATATATTATTTATATATTATATATGCGCGTTACCTATTGGAAAGCGCTCAATATCAGTGATAGAGCTAACAAATTTAGTTGGATTGATATGAGTTTGTGACCCTGGGTTTCACGCTTTTGCAATCGTCAGACCCATATATATATATATATATATATATATATATATATATATATATATTGATCTTGAGACACTTGATAGCCATTACATCACTATTATATATATGTATATGTGTGTGTCTTGCTAGATCAATGGCGATACTCACAGAATGCTCCATACTTTCAGACCTGTGCTAATATATATATATATATATATATATATATATATATATATATATATATATACCCCCTGGTCAAAATCTTAAGACCCGATACAAATGGGTTAAAAAATATAAAATACTGTTACTTTAATCAAAATATATTTGCAAAACATTTACATTTAATTAGAAAATTTAATTTATCAACAAACAAGTTAACATTTTAAGCTTTTAAATTGTTAATATAAACAAACATTGAAAAAAGTATTTTTTTGGTTGGTCATAAAGATAAGACTATGTGTGAAAAAACAGATTACTGGAGAAAAATTTTAGGGCAGGATTGTTGAACTTCAAAGATGTGGTCTTTTGCAAGGAGCCATTGCAAATGAAATTGGACATAGAATTGTCATTGCGAACTTCATTAAAAATCCAGATGCGTATGCGTCTAGAAAATCAAGCGGTTGCCCCAACAAAATCGCACCATCTCTAGACAGACGCATTAGGCGAGAAGCTAAGAGAGGTTCGATGCTCACAGGGTGCTCCACACTTTCAGCGTTGTGCCACATCTAAGCGACACTTAGAAAGTCTTTTGGTATTTCGACGTTGTATACTAGTAACAAGATTAAAACTAAAATAGATATAATACGACTAAATTATTTAACCAAACACACACACACACACACACACACACACACACACACACACACACACACACAGACACACACACACAGACACACATATATATATATATATATATAAAAGGCAGGATGCGTGTGTGTGTGTGTGTGTGTGTAACGAATGCACGGCCGCAATTTTCGATGGATTTGCACCAAAATTTACATGCACATGCTCCAAGTTAGCGGGAAGGCCAAGACGGACTTTGCATTTTCCAACTCCCATCGAAAATGGAAATAATCGATTTTTTCATGCTTCTACGGCAGTTTTCATGTAGTTTGCGGTCAGAGTGTGAGCCTATATCTGGCTGCCACGAATAGGCAGGAAGATTCTATTGGCCAGCGTGAGAGCCAACAGCTGACTGACACAAATGTTAACTATCATGCTAGCATGCAAAAAAATCGATAGCTGCATTCATCACAAATAGGAAAAACTTAAATCTGCATGGCACTTTACTCCAATTGGCTCATTCACTTGTTTAAACTCAACGTTGATTCTGATTCCGCAGAACTGGGTTGGGTGTGAAAAAGTATTTGTTGTTAACATTCTTTTTTCATTCGGTTTTTCCAGTTACGAGTCTATTTTTAAAGCTGATCGTTTTGTGTTCATTTTGTTTAGTTCTTTTTTCGTACCAGATTTAATGTTCTTTAAAGGGAAGGAAGGGCAAAAATATTTTAAGTCAAGTGATAGCGATTGCTGTATGAGTCGTACGATTTTTGAATCAAGCACGGGCAACGCCGTGCCATGCTGCTAGTATATATATATATATATATATATATATATATATATGGTTGTATAGAAAAATGTTTTGCATATACATATATCATTTTGCGATCGGAATAATTTGTGTCATGTCAAGCATATTCAATATTTGTAAGAATCACAGGCTGTGCGCTTTGAGCAATCTATAGACATTTACACTGTCATTTCAAATTATTTTTTTTCTCATTTTTCACTTGATTTTTTTTTCAACCCTGCAAAATGTCTTCTTTTAAAAACTTTTCTGATGTCTTAACACTTGGTCACCCACGCATCTCTCTTCGCTTGTCTTAACATAAGTAACAAAATAATCCCGATACGTTAATGATGTCACACTTTTTTCTCGCGAACAGAAATAACGAAAAAGAAAACGCGGCAGCTAATTTGATTGGCATGTACTTTTACAAAAAAAACCCAAAAAAACAAAAACAAAAAACTGCGTTGATGGCCGACTCTGAAAGAAAAAAACTACAGGTTCTCCTAAAGAATGTGCTAAAAGAAAACGGGAATAAAGGACTATCAACTGCGGGGAAGAGAGAAAGCAAGTGAAACAGCCAAAGATGCGAGTTACTAATTGGAAAATGCGAAGACATGAGTCTTTCTTTAAATGTTCTGAAACTGAACTATGACCGTAAGCCTTCTCGCCATCGTCGTTGTTGTAAGAAAAAGCCCAAGATGCGAATTACGAATTGGAAATATAAGCGTAAAGCAAGTGCAGAAGTTCAAATATTTGGAAAGGGTTTAAAAGACGATTGAAAATGCGATACCGAGATCCGAACACGCACTGGACTAACGGTAGAGGCATTCCAAAAGCTAAGCAAGGTGCTGAGAAAACGGAAAATTAATTCGTTAGAAACAAAGAAAATACCGTTGAATTGTTAATGTGAAATCACCCTTTTATATGACAGTGAATGTTGAACAATCACTCCACGGATGATGAAAAAAAAAATAACAAGAGGGAATAGAAAGGTGGTCCTACAGGATACTGAAAATTCCATGGATTGGGCGCGTTAGTAACAAGAAAGTCTTAAAGAAAATGGCAACGGAAAAGAACATTTATACCCAGGATCAGGAAAAGATAGCTGAAATTGTTTGGTCGCAAAATGAGTTACACAGGTGGGAAGTGGAAGAAAAGAAACCGTTAAAAGAGAGATGGCGCTTGCATCTAGCTAGCTCAACAGCAAAACGAATATACTTAGTTGCCAATCTAGTAGTACGCTTAAATTCATACAGTCGTGACACTAAGGAAAAAAACGAAGCTTATCAAAACAGTTACCATGAAAATATTTGCAGAAAAGAGCCACTCCACATCAGTGAAAAAGTGACTGAAGTCGAGATGCCTGGTAAGGATCAAACAAATTACAGGCCCTTCTTTCAATTTGTCAAGAATCTCCAGATATATGTTAAGAGCCAGATATATGGTAAGGGCCAGATATGGTTGCAGTAGCCGATGCACAGATGAATGGTAGATTTATAAATGTGCAAGATGGATTCTGACGAGAAAACATATTATTAATGGTAATTGGGTTGTTTGTGTTTTATCATTGAAACCTTTTATATAAGTACCGCACTTGTCATTAAAATAAATTACATAGAGACAGAAGCACGTGAAAGTACCTTTTATTTTCCATGTGTAGGTCTTTTCTCCGCATTTTAATTTTTTTTCTTTCACTTTGAAGATGAAATATTTGCTCCTACTGTGTATCAAGTTTCATTGAAATGAATTTAGTCGAAATAGATGCACTTTGGTTAAGTTAACGTGGCCGTGTCTTCAAAATGAGGTCATTCTATCGTATGCCAGTGAGGGCATGCAAATTTTCTTTGTCTTATTCCTGTTTATTTTCCTTCTCATATTTTTAATTAGTTTCTCCGAGTTTTTTTTTCTTCACTGGATGAGATATTTTTGAGGGTTCTTTTTTGAAAATGAAATATCTGAAAACCTTGTAAAAGAATTTTCGTAGAAACAGATGTAATTTGGTTAAAACAACGCGGCAGTGAGTCCGTCCGAACAGAATTCCGGTTAGGACGGCCTGTACTAGTGATTACCTTATTTCGTTCATGTCTTTATTGCCTCTCAACTCGTTAGTTTATCTGAATATTTTTTTCTTTCATTGGGTAATTCTAATTGTCCTAATTGAAAATGAAATATTTAACGACAGTGTTCCAGGACTAACTGCATATTTCGTAGGTATAGAAACACTTTAGCTAAATTAACGCTGGAAATGCATCAAAACATGGTAGAAAAGAAAGGAAGGAAGAAATAAAAAAAAAGAAAGCAACTTCCTTTCTTCCTTTTCTACAATGCTTTTTCTTTTTTTTACTTTCTTTATTCTGTATTCTTTCTTCACAATTAACTTCTAGTTTCGTTTTCATTCTTTCTGTACGATTGTTCATGTCGTTGCAATATTTCTTTTTTGCTTTCTTTCTTTCTTTCTTTCTTTCTTTCTTTCTTAGCACATTTGTTTTTTGAATATGTTTATTTCTTTCTATCTTTCTTTTCTATCCTGTTTTCTTCATTTTTGTATTTTCCTCTTTTTACCTTTAAAGTTGTTACTACATTTGTCATCGTCTTCTTTCTTTCTTTCTTTTTCTTTATTTCTTTTTCTTTCTTTCTTTCTTTTTTTTTTCTTTCTTTCTTTCTTTCTTTCTTTCTTTCTTTCTTTCTTTCTTAGCACATTTGTTTTTTGAATATGTTTATTTCTTTCTATTTTTCTTTTCTATCCTGTTTTCTTCATTTTTGTATTTTCCTCTTTTTACCTTTAAAGTTGTTACTACATTTGTCATCGTCTTCTTTCTTTCTTTCTTTCTTTCTTTCTTTCTTTCTTTCTTTCTTTCTTTCCTTTTTCCTTTATCTTTCTTTTCTTACCATGTTGCTTTCTTTCTTTACTTTCTTTATTCTTTATTATTTACTTTACTTTTTCTAAAATTGTTTATACCGTTCCCATATTCTTTCTTTCTTTCTTTCTTTCTTTCTTTCTTTCTTTCTTTCTTAGTACATATCATTTTTTGTATGTGCTTATTTCTTTCTCTTTTTCCTTTTTATCTTGTTATCTTCATTTTTCTATTTTCCTCCTTCTATCTCTAAAGTTGTTTCTATATTTGTCATTGTCTTCTCTCTCTTTCTTTCTTTCTCTCTTTCTTTCTTTCTTTCTTTCTTTCTACCATAAATAAACGCAGCGTCTGCTAAAATATTTTATATATCACTAAAAAAATAATTTAAGTGATTATGTAGTAACATCACAAATCAAAATAAACAAGTAACTACTACAAGACATCCTTTAGTAAGAATATTTAAATGAGATCCATTTCCCCGTCCCCGGCGACCTGCACCTGAAGAAGGCTGGTGATAGAACGGTCGAAACGTCGTGGCCATAATAACGTAGCTAAATTGAATAAAAATCCTTAGTGCCATTAGAGACTATTTCTAAAGCTTTCAGCATTGCAGGGGTTCCTGTTGTGGATTTGTAATTTGATTTTGCATTCATAGTTTTTCTTCGGCTACATCGGTTGCCAACTATGGATAGAGAGTTGGTCGGTCTTGATAATTAACCCCCTAGTCATGACAAAAAGTGAAAGGTGTCTCTGCGATCGACGCCTCTGCTTCTTTTTGACATTCGTGACAGATGAGTTGTCGTCTTTTCTTTTTCGAAATCCTGTGTAGTATCACTCGTAGACCACTTGGCTTCATTTCGGTGTTCCGTACTTAGTAGAGCACCACACAGCTGTGATACTGTCAGCCCCTCGTTTGATTGGCTTAGAACAATCACAGAGTCAAGTCGGCTAGAAATAATTTTATCTGCGGCTTAAGCGCAGTTGGTTTTTATGACACAACTAAAATCGAGAGGTGCTAGCTTCAAAGTAAATACCCACCGTGCAGAATTAGGGAAAAGTAAATGAATTATATGAATAAATACATGGCAGCAGCCCCAATAAGCTGGGATAAGCGGGTACAAGAGGAGGGCAACAACACTCTGCCTGCCTTATGTGAAGGGGTTATCGGAGAAAATACAAAGGATCTGCGGTCCATATAACATCAGGACAACATTCAAAAGCTGGACGACATTTCGCAGATACCTCTTCCGAGTAAGACCCCCCCATAGAGGAGAACATGACTAAAGACTGTGTGTACGCCATCCCGTGCAGCTGTGAAAAGAAATATAAAGGAGAGACAGGCCGCCCTCTTAAGGTAAGACTTCAAGAACACCAAAAAACTGTAACACGAAGGGAAGTGGAAAAATCAGGCGTGGCTGACCACATATGGAGAGAAAAGGGAGATCACCGCCCTCAGGTTGAAATCATAGACAAAGAACATCATTGGAAATTCGTAAACTCAAGGAATCAGCACATATGCTATGCCACAAAAATCTCCTGAGCCGAATAAGGATAAATATGAATACAATATTGGAACCGGTATTAAGGAGTGCCCTTTGGCAAAAAAAGCAATAATAACAACAAAAATTGCAATATGAGCTCTGGTAAAAAAAAACGGTTGTTGAAAACATTGAATTTATAAATCCCAAAAATTCATGCACAGATATCCTTAAGGACACATGGCACAGTGGATAAAGGCGTTGGTTAGATCCAGTGACAGGGCCCAAAGAGTTGTCAGTTCAATACCCGGAAGGAGAGGGGAATTAACAGGAGATAACTGATAACTAACATCCATTAGACATGGCACGTGAAACTAGAACAGTCTAACCACCTGAAGAAGTTGTACGGAGCGTACATCAGCCGAAAACGTTGTGATAAATATGGCCGAATAATGTAAACAGTGTACATAATACCTCATCTCAGAAATATAGAGAGGTAATGAATAAATAAATTAATATAAACCTTGAAATTTTACACATGAACACGTACACACATACACGCGTACACATACACACACGCAAAGAAGATAAAATCAACACCAATAAAAAGCAGATAAATTCTTTTTAATTTAATATAAAAAAGAGGAAAATCAGAAAATTGGCAATCAAACCTCCTGAACGATTAGAAAAATATTCGTCTACGAAATTTGGAGTCTGGGTTCTGAATATATCATCAATCAGTTAAAGTATAAATTTTATATTTATATTAATCTTAAATAAAGAGATGAAAACTTTCGAGATAAAGTGCCACTAAACCGGAAGGTAAGGAATTCCAGACGTGGACATATAGTCAGCCAGTATACCAAAATGGCCAGGTACATATCGACTATCGATATGTAGAGACTGTTGGGGATGGGCAGGGAAGCCGTCGGAATTCTCGTTGGCTAAAGCGAAGATCTGCTCTATCAGTTTTCCGCAAGGAGAGTCAGTAGTAGCAGCGTATATGTCCCAAGTCTCACTTTCCTAACTCCATGCCAGATGAATCCATGAATAAAGAACGAAATATTTATAAATCGGGTTCCGTGTTTTTTTTTTGTTTTTTTTTTGCGTTATTTCAATTTATTTTACTTTGGTGAACATACAGCGGACCTTTCCTATTTTTTGCGGTTATCCCACCAGCACTAACGGGAATCGAAATACATCGTCGGGTGAAATTGTTCAATCGATGAAAGACACAGCAAGAGACTAAGCTGTCAACCGTATCTTTCGTCGTTCTCAAATCACGAATTAAAATGATAGTAATTCCTCATCATGGAAATTCAGACAAAAATTAAGTTGATAAATTAGCTGTCAGAAATGTAATTCTTTGATTAACGGGGAAATGAGTGAGGATATGATTGTCAACTTTAAGATATTTGCTTTCTAAGTGCAAGGCGATCTTTCTTGGGCTTCCATTTTGCTTTTATCGCAAGGGAGACGCCAGTCGTTGGATATCTCCAATTTCGTTCACATTCTTTTTTTTTTTTATTATTTCAATGTTGGTGATGTGTATAATTTTGCGAATTGTGCTTCTTATCAATTCACGCACTGGTGAAATGTTAGTTAACAAAGCCGTGAAAATCTCTTCAGGCTTCTGCGTAGGGAAACGTCTGTTACGAAGGATTAGGGCTGGTTATGGCAGTAAGACGTCTATTCGGTCGAGTATGAAGAAGCGAAATATTGTAAATGTGCCGGAAGTCAAGTGAAAAGAGATAGTAAATGCAACACACATTCACACACACACAAACACACACACATATGTGTGTATGTGTGTGTGTAAAATTTCAGATATAACTAAAACTATGTCTGTAAAAGGACAATATGACTAAAGACATATCTTTATTCACACACACACAAACATATATATATATATATATATATGACAAAATTGTAGTTGTAATCTATTTTGAGACACGGTAAATTAATAAATTGCGTCTCGAAATGAAGAAGCCGAGTTCGAATTGAAGTCGCGTTTACTACATTCACTTAGGTGCTAATACAATTGGTTGAGGTCTGAATCAAATTCTTCTAGCAACCCAGTTATGTTTTAAGTAGTAGACAGGCTGGTTTCTATAGCCTTGAGTTGCAACCAGTCTAGGAAAAGGAAAACTGAATTTTAAACTGTATGTAGCCCTGACGAAGCACATACTATACTGTTAAGTAAAAAGGATTTTTCGAATTGAATCGATGATCACGATTACAATCGACTCTTTTTTAAGGTATATTCTACATTTATGAGTTAAAGTGTCCTTTTCATGCGATAGGACATATGTAAATATAAAAGTGGACATTGAAGACAACGCCTAGCAGCAAGAATCTTTTTTCTGATTAAACGTAACCTTCAGGCCTCATGATGATGGTTAAGCCTGAAATAGACTATCGCTGCTGAGTGATGGCCTCAATCTCCACTTTATATATATATATATATATATATATATATATATATATATATATATATATATATATATAATTGTTTTTTTCAAAAATATGCAATCATCGCAACACCGGAATTCCCATGTTTGAAAACTGAAACTTTAATTTAAATTCAATCATACAAATTAAACTTAAAATTCAAAGTTCCGTTTCATTATCCAGATAACTTTTCTCGTTGGATTCTCACTACCATAGCCTTGTGCCAGACTTAATCTTAGCAAATAAATATCTCTGTCGCCTGGTTCACTCTCCTCTTCGGTCTTTTGAACATGAGTAGAGGTTTATCACTTGTTTCCCGTTTAGCATTCGGTTTCAGTTTTCTTTTAAAGTGTTCTCATTCTCTTGCGTCATAGTGTCATTATCGCCTTGCTTGGGGTGAATTGATGAAAAGCAAGATCGTATCTTGCAGATCAGTTCACTCATGGATTTTGATCCTCACTTGGACTCCTATTATCATAGCCTTGTACCAACATGTGCTATGTTTAATAAATAAGTATTTGAATGCAGTTAGGCCTGCTGGGATATTTATTTTGCAAAGATAGCATATGTCGGTGTTCGAGATCTTCTTAAGCGTGACGAAAAGACTAACTCTTGTGATGTACGGTCGTTAGCAAGAGAGACAGAAGAAGATGAAGGCCACGAATTGGTGACGTCACAGTCAAGCGAGTATATAGAACTGTCTTGGAAGTGTTTCATCAGACGACCGTAAAAGTGGCACAGAAATCCGAATACTTATTGGAATAGCGAAATATGCCTTTCAAAAGCTAAATAAGGTATTAAGAAACAGGAAGATTTCGTTAGAAAAAAGATGAATTATAATGTAATAACAATTCTTAGGCACACATCGACAAACGCAATAAGGCTTAATGACAAAAGAATAGTTTTTCCTATGACACCGGTTTTTTTTTTAACTATCTTCAATCTTAGGCAATGTTTATTTTATTTTTTTTGTTCTTCGACTTATCATCCTTTTACAGGCCAGACAATTTTTTTAGATTGTAAGAATTTTTTGGAGATAAGGATTTACTGACACAAGTCATAATATTTAACCCATAGCTAGAAAGAGAAGAGTTGGATTCATATCTTTCCCAAGGGTATTTGCGTATAAGTAAATACAACAAACACGATTGGAATTAGAACTCGGCTCTCCGAATTCAAGTTCCGAGTTCTTATCAATTACACCACTGGATGTGCCCTCCATGTTTACAACATCTGGTGTTCCCAGTCTCCCATCTAGGTATTAACCATGTTCAACATTCCTTAACTTCTGTGATCGTACGTGTGTTTCAACCTGATGTGATCATAAACCTATTGTCTAAAAAAGCGATGATTAGAATTGTAATAAATCTTAAACATATGATGAAAGTGAATTTATACATTTTTTG